TAGTGTTGCTCCCCAGGATAACACACTGAGTGCACTGTTATATGTTACTGTATTGCACCTTTTGGTTGTGATTTTTACCTTTTGTTATTATTGTTAACTTGTTATTAATATGTTTTCTGTTTAACATGTTCTGAGAAATTTCTTTGATTTGGTACAGCTTTATGACAACTTAAGCAAAGTAAACTGTTTTATTTTTTCACAGTCATGTCTTTTTTGAGTTACAGTTCTTCATAATTATTAACCACTTGCTGACCGGGGTATTAAACCCCCTTCCTGCCCAGGCCATTTTTCAGTATTCAGAGCTGCGGTACTTTTGACATTTATTCCGTCATGCAACGCTGTACTGAAGTAAATTTTATACCATTCTTTGGGGACAGATAGAGCTTTATTTTGGTAGTATTTAATCACCACTGGGGTTTTTATTTTTTACTATATAACAACAAAAAAATGAATTTTGGAAAAAAAACAAAACTTTCCCTACATTATGTTATAAAACATTTATTAGTACCCAATTTTTTGGTAAAATATAAAAGACGGGGTCATGTCGGGTAAATAGACACCAAACATGTCAAGCTTTAAAATTGCGTGCGTCCACAAAATCGCCAAAAAATACCATGCATAAAATTAGCCATAGGCTACACTTTAAAAGCTTTTACCACCCATCAGTTTAGTGTTATCGGTGATTGATGGGCCTAGAATTATTGCTCTTACTCTGACGTTACGGTGATATGTAACATGTGCCGCACAATCGTCGTGTTTGCACGTAGGCGTGCATTTACGTATATAAGTGTGTGGCCAGGGACTTAAAAACTTTTTTCGGTGTTTTTTCTTTTGTTAATGAGACTTTAATTGTGTTTAATTTTTTTACACTTAACTTGATTTCTATCACATTGGGGGCTAAAAAAATCCCCAATGGGATAGCTAGAAAAAAATTACAAGTCCTCTTAATGGTGACCCCTAATGTCACCTAGGGACCCCCAAAGAAGCTGATGAAGCAGAGATCTGCTTCATCAGCTTCTTCTCTGACTCCCAGCCAGAGAAATGACAGCTAAAAGGCAGAAGTTATGTAATAGACATCGCTTCAGACTTTAGAGAGAGAGAAGGGGGAGAGATCAGCGGTGGGAAATGCTGATCTCCCCTCCTTCACTCTTCGAGCAGCTGCCGTGCCGATCCTTTCAGTCCGGGGCACCGCAAGGTGTGGCAGCAAAGGCGGGGGGCGCACTATGCTAAAGAGTCGGCCGAACGCTTGTGTGAGACAGCCGGTAACGGCTTCTATCCTTCCCGGCGGGATTCTGCTCGCGCTTCACATGACCCTGCCGGGAAGGATCTGCCGTCCGCCCGTAATTGGGGTTATGAAACTGCCCTAAAATCATTAGTTTGTGTTGTTTTTAAGAAAATGTCACCTGTCCCTTTAGGGAAAAGTATCGGTAATTGGTATAGGCGAGTACTTGATTCAAAGTATCGGTACTCGTACTCAGCCTTAAAGAAAAATGGTATCGGTCCATCACTAATAATCTCTATGAATTCCTGCCTTCTGAACTGGTTTGAATCCCCATTTTCACACTAGCTTCTATCATTCTGGAACTGGCTTCTAGAGTTTGGGAAGGTTTGTCCAGACCTTACCATCATCACTTCAAATCTTATGATTATACTGCGCAATGCAGATTACCACTGACCAGTTATAGAGGAACAACAAATCCCAGCAATAATACTTTATACAGGGTGTTTAATATATTATTGCTGGGATTTGTTGATCCTCTATAGCTGCTGGTGTTCTACAGTGTGCCGCTGTATTATACATTGGTATTCTGTAGAGCTGCAACAATTATTAGATTAAGTCGATTAAAATACACAGGCATGCATGGAAGAATTTATTATGAATTGGGTCTGCCCCCTAACATGTTAGCTTAACTACACTATATTGCCAAAAGTATTGGGACACTTTATTTATAACAAAGTGGAAGCAACTGGAAACAACAGCAACTCAGCCACAAAGTGGTAGGCCACATAAAATGACAGAGCGGATCAGCGCATGCTGAAGTGTACAGATGTCGTCAACTGTCTGCACAGTCAGTAGCTACAGACCTCCAAACTTCGTGTGGCCTTCAGATTGGCGCAACAACAGTGCGTAGAGAGCTTCATGGAACGGTTTTCCATGGCCGAGCAGCTGCATCCAAGCCTTACATCACCAAGTGCAATGCAAAGCGTTGGATGCAGTGGTGTAAAGCACGCCGCCACTGGACTCTAGACAAGTGGAGACGTGTTCTCTGGAGTGACGAAAGCCGCTTCTCTGTCTAGCAATCCGGTGGATGTGTCAGTGACAACGGTGCTTGCCTGACTGCATTGTACCAAGTGTAAAGTTTGGTGGAGGGGGGATTATGTTGTGGAGTTGTTTTTCAGGGGTTGGGCTTTGTCCCTTAGTTGTAGAGGCTTTTTACTAAGGCTATTATTTTTGTCAAGCCTTATGCTCTACTTTTCCTTGCTCCACATAACTCTCTTTTAACATTGACTTTTAGATTTTACAGTCTTCAGTTGTATTTATTTTATTTTACCTCTGCACACTTTATTCCTTTGCAGACCACTGGAGGGTTTGACAGTCTTTACTGGCTACGGCTTGTAACAGTGCTGGGTAACATGGAGCTGCAGCTGGCCCCCTTGTTTCTCCGTTGTTGAGGGCCCGTTCACACTACATCCAGATCATCTCCAGACAAGATTGTTTTGGGACCCAAAATGCATCCCAATGTATCCCTATGCTATTTCTGGCCTCTGTTCACACCAGAGCAGTTTGATCCAGACCAGAAAAATCCTGCATGTCTCATTTTGTCTGGTCTAGAATGCACTGAAACACATGCAAATACACTGGAACACACCTGAAAGCCCATTTTAAGCTAAAAAAAAAACAAAACCCCAGCTCCAGGATGTGGCAAAATCGATGTAAAAACACGGCAAAATGCAATGCACCGCGTTCCAGAATTTGTCCAGATCTGGTCCGGAAAATGTGTGAACCTGGCCTTACTGCGCAATTTCAGCCACACTGCCAGTCCCCTTTGCTTGTCAGCGCACACAGGGTTCAAGAAACCCTGAAGATGGAGGATCCTCCTTCCTTCTCCGTTCAACCCTCAGTTGCCTTTGGTTTTCACAAACAAAAGTGTGGTGCTAAAGTGTTTCCATACAATTCTTTTTTTTTTTATATGTGTATTGTGGGGATTAGCTCCAAATAGTAGCGCATAAAGGACGCATCCACTCGCTGTAATCTTCATTCAAGGGCTTCCTTGCCCACTTTTATTAAATGAAAGTTCACAAAACAGAACAATTACCCTCGCAGGGGTTCTTTAGCATCTCATGGCAGCACCTGCCCATCCAGCCTCCTGGCTTTGCATTTGCTGCTCCGGCCTCAGCCCACTGTCTGTTCCTCCAGACAGCCTCAGTCGTGTGCTAACCTGCACACTGGGGGTTCTTCCCAATCCGCAGCACCCTGCTGCACTGGACTCCACTCTGACTCCTGGGTGGAGCTTTTCTGTCTCCCAGGTGGAGTCTTGAACCCTTCCCAACAACTTTAATTTAAAGGTTGTGCACACCTGTGCCATCAACATGCGCTGGCCACTTAGATTCTGTACACAGGAATGGAGATAACGCAGTGGCATTGCCATGCACTGCCACAGTATATGTATATATATATACACACACACATATATACACACAAGGAATGGCAGTGTCCTCTGTATTGTATTGAATTTCACACTTAAAAAGGGCAACAGCAATCCTAGTGGAGGAAGCTCCTTCTTTTAAAGATCCAACAGATCGTAAGATGGAGGTTGTTGCTTCTGTACACCATTGCTGGAATGCTGATGTGGCCAGTCCTAGCGTCTGCTCTGGTGTAACAGACTATTACTGTGTGGGTGCATTTTACCAAAGAACAAATCTGGTGGCCTTAATAGATTAAATAGTCCAGGCTCTAAAGTTTCTGTGTGATGCTATGCTGGATTTTCCTAATGTTTCTGCCTTTTCTCCTTAATGAAGAAATTGTGCTCCTGTCTTTGTCTGGCAGCTTCTCACCCTAAGGAAATTGCTTTGAACTATGTTAGTGCTCTTAGGGTCTACTTTCTGGCCACTGCAACCATGAAAAAGATGTGTTCAATGTTCTGCATTAGGAACTTGTGGCTTCTTCTGCTACCATCTCCCAGTGGATTCAACAGGCTTATGCCAATAAGCATAAAGAACTGCCTTTTCCTATAACTGCTCATACAACATCACTAATTATTTTGCCATCCAACATTAGGCCTCGGTTTTGAAGGTCTGTAAGGCTGCAACCTGGTCCTTTTAAGTCGTACTTTCACTAACAGGGTGAAGAGTTTGGAGAAGGCAGGAGAAGTGAACACTCTCGCACAATACAGCTGAACTGGAAAGTGAGCTGAAATGGAGAATTCCAATTCCTATTTTATCCCAGAGTGTACACTTCTCCTGCCTTCTCCAAACTCCTCACCCTTTTGTGAATAATCCTGTAAGTTTAACAAAGTAGATGTGGTTGCATTGGCGGATGCTAGCTTTGACCGCAAAGATTTACAGGCAGCGGTGAGATTCAACTGTTGGGGTGAGGGCTTACCGTCTTGTTTTTTGTTATTGTTGGTGTTTTGGTCCACCCATCTTGTTAGGTACTGATTGCATGTTTATTTTTTTGTTCTACTGCTAGTACTAACTGACATTCTCTGACAGTTGTGGAGATAAGCCACCTAAGAGAGCTGTATGTTTTTTTTCTAACTTCTGTAGATCGCACTATAACTCACTGGTTCTGATTTTGATCTTCAGTCAAATGACTGTGGAAAAACATTCTATTTTTTTTTCTTTTTATTACTGGACTAGACCTACTTTTATTCACTATACAGTATAACTATCTTCTTACTGTTCTTGTAGAGTGGTCGTCTTGTTTTTCCATGCTTACGTGTATCCCTCTCTCCTATAGAATTCTGCTTTCATATGTCTCCCCCCATTTTTATCTGCAGAATTATCTTCAGATGTGAAGAAGAAGAAGAAACATACTCTTCCCAGCTCCTCTTCTCCATCCTCAGATACAGCTATGGATCTGCTCAACTCAATTTCTTCCCCTGTAGTTTCTTCAAGCAAACACTCCTCCAAAAAAAATGAGAAGATACTGGCGTCCCCTGTTGGCCTTCAGTCTTCAGTCCAAGTAACCCGGAAAGAACATCGTAAAAAGGGTGGAGAGGACACTGTTGAGGATCTTTCCCACAAATCAAAAAAACCCAAGCCTCTTACTTTGCGTGAGCCTGAAGGTTTAAAGATGAAACTAATTATTTCCCCCAAAGAGAAGACAAGTGAACGACCGCTTCCAACACAAGAAAATCCATTATGTAGTGACAAAAGTTCTTCCAAAAAGAGCAAGAAATCTAAGGATGAAACCGAGAAGAGCAGTCACAAGAAACACAAAAGAGAAAGTCATACACCACGGCATGCTGGCACTCCAGATACAGCATCTTCTTCTGGAGGGGAACTTGAGGCTGGAGAACTTGTGATTGATGATTCCGTTCGAGAAACGAAGAAGAAAAAGAAATCTAAAAAGAGTAAAAAGAAAAAAGATAAACACAAGGAGGACAAACACAGAAAACACAGCAAGAGCAAGAGGGAGCATGGATTAGAGAGTTCAAAGCCCATAGCACCTTCTGTACTCCCCTCATCACCAAATTCTAGAGCTGCAACATCCTCTCCCCCACCATTACCAAGCCCGCCAGCCACAGCACTTCTGCCAACACCCGTTGTCTTGTCTCATCCTGAAGGAACAACAGACAAGAAAAAGAAGAAGGAAGAGGCAGAAAAGGTAAATAAAGAAAATAATTGGCGTTGCACTCTTGAGAAGCACCTTATTGTAGCAGGCAATGGTATAATCACTAACATTGCTGTTCATTATTGGGTCTTGTAAGTGCATCCCAAGCTAATTGATCACTTTTATTTGCAGAAATCAGTATTTGTAGTAATTGCCCTATGTTAACTTGTGCACACAGTTTAGGAATATGTTAAAAAGCTATTAAATGATCATGTAAATCTTTTGTTTATTATGAAGATATCCTATAAATCAAACAGGAATACGTTTGGCACAGAGATGTAGTCTTTCGCATATAGCGAAATTTAGGAATATACCTCCAAGTTAAACCCATAACTCCCAAAAATATAACACTGTATTACTATAATGTTATGTAATATGTCACATTTGCTTAGAGACCCAATACTAAAAATCAATTCAAAAAAATAGCACCACCATATAAATATCAGTATTTAAATCTGTATAAATAAGTCATACAGTTCAACAATTTTCAACAAGTGTCTCTCTTGGCTAGAGTAGTATATGGCAATTGTTTTGTGAATGACGGCGCTACGTTGCAGCCTCTGTCATTCACAATAATACAAGTCGACAGGTACGGCTCTACTCTTTCGCTCCTCCTGAATTAACAGGTGAGTGAGTCTTAAAAGGTAAGCTTTATTAGGTAGATTTATATCCTTGTATCTATGTTAAAACCTGAATAAAAACAAAATTAACATAAAAGGTAAGCTTAAATAAAAATATGCTTACCCATCTTGCCTAGCCAAAGCCAAACCATCCCCACCCCACCCCACCCTTAGCTGCTTACTTACATAAGGAGAACCACTGTCTTCCTGCCTTGGTGTTTAAATTCTGCAAGTGAAATCTTTGTTACTGCAGGCATGCCTGCAAAGTGAGTCATTTAATAAAACTTACAGTAAACAAGTAAAACAAGCAGCTATTGGCACCAGCAGTTATCTTAGATTGCCAAGTACCTTGACATAGTCTATGTGAAAGTCGCATGCTGAACCACTCCCTACTGCCCCTCACTATCTTACCCTTAGAGGGAAGGTGAGCTTCACTAACCAACAATAAAGTGAAAGAGGCAGTGGGCGAGAGCTAGCCTTTCTTATGCTGAGTTCATAGACTCAGTATTATAGCCAGGCAAGTATTACATTCAGAATAAGCTGTTAATGGCAGCTACAATGTTGATATGAAGTACTTTTATTTTTAAACTCTGCTAACTAAAATATTTTCTTTTGCTCCACATTGTGGTGTAACCAGCCTAAGAAGAAAAATATGTCTGCATATCAAGTGTTCTCTAAAGAGTATCGAAGCAGCATTATATCAGAACATCCAGGCATTGGTAAGACACATTTACCTGTTTCTGTACAGATATAGGCATTATACACACCAAGAGTTTCACTGCAGTTTACCTGTGTCTGTCCTCCTTGTGTTTGCTTGAAGTGGACCTCAGTGATTGAGCCTGGCCAGATAAAGATTTAGTCCTCTTTTTTTCAAAATGTAATTTGCAGTACATTTTATCATCCTGCTAACACCAACAATTTGCAAATCTTTAGTTAATATGTATACATCACACATGTGTTTTTCTCTAATATGTAGAAATCATATTAAGTTTACATCTGGACCAAATGACTCACTTTGGTTTTCCTCAGCATATGTTTGGTATGTTCATATCTGCACAAGGGATTCCACTTTTGAGTGGGATAGTTGTATAGTCTGTACTCTGCCACAGTGGTCCTACCTATGTAAGGATCACTATATGATTACTTACTGGCAAAGTGAACGACTCTTTGGTGTCTCTAGTAAAAGAAAAAAAACTTCTTTATTTTCATTATTGCTTTTGCAGTAGCATTTGACTCTTCTGTATAGTAACATTGGAGCACAGATACAGTATAAAGAAGGTTGTAGGTGCACTAGTTTTTTAACTTACCCCTCATGTAATGGGAAAGCATACTCCTGCACTTGCTGCAACATATTGGCAAAGGGTGAAAGCATCAAAGTTCAGCAGCATTATGTAATCAAGTTGTTTCTTGCCTTTAGAGATGCACTGCTGTTGTAGAAGGGCACAGATGCCTCATTCATGTTACTGTCAAAAATACCTTCGGGCTACAGTTGGGGCTTCTAGATTCAGCACTTTTAAATATGATGGCTACCAGGTTTTCTCCCCTAAAGCTTCTCAAGTTTTACTGACTAGAATAGCAGTGATTGAAAGTGACCTTCTGGATACACAAAGTACAGAATATACAGTATAATTGCCTGGAAAAAATGTCTAATTATTTTGATTTATACATTTCCAAATTGCACAGCCATGCAGATTACACTTATTTCCTAGGTTTAGCTTCCTATGTTACCTCTCTGCCTTTATCGTGTTCATTGTATATTAAATAAGCTTCATCAGCTCTGGCCAGTGAGCCGTTGTGTGTCCAGTTTTAATGATGGAAATCCCTCCCTATGAGCCTCTATTACCACAGTCTAATTTTGCTATGTGGAGGATCCTTTTTTTTTTCTTCTTAACTTCACCAAGAGTGAACAGATTATGCTTACGTTTTCGTCTGTAAATCATCCTTTGTTATTCATTCTTTTTAATCGGTTGCCAGACTTTGGAGAACTTAGTAAGAAGTTGGCTGAAGTGTGGAAACAACTGCCAGAAAAGGATAAACTTGTAAGTTGACACTTTAAAAGAAGGAAGCACTGACTGTTCCAACCTTGTATGTTAATTCAGATTTGTCTAAATACTGCATGCTAAATTCTGTTCATGCTGACTGTAGGTCTGGAAACAGAAGGCTCAATATCTTCAACACAAGCAAAACAAAGCAGAGGCCACTACTGTGAAACGCAAGCCTAGCCCATCAGAATCTACTTCAAAGAGCAAAGGTATGGAAAAATGCTAATAGGTGTTGGTTTTTCCACTGCTAGAAAAGTTATCAAAAGAATCATTTAATATATAAAGAAAACCTGCTCTGAAAGAAATATATGGGCTACCATTGCTTCCTGAAAATGCTAGTTGCTTGGTTGATCTATTGACTTAAGCACTTCGATTAACCAACCTCATCAGTGTCAACTTAATCCGCAAAGTTTTTCCATAACTCCCAAAAAACTAAAGACATTGGATCAGCATATAATCTAGCAACTAGCATTTCTTTATGCATAGGTTTCTTGAATCATCACCACATTGTTTAAACATTTGGTTGTGGAAAATGCAGTAACTAATCTATACGGTTTAGTCATTCCTGTTTTTTTGCTTTGATGTGTGTATGCTTGTTCTCTAGGTTCACCTTCATCCTCCAGCCTCCCTTCACCTCACAAGAAGTCCTCAAGTAGTACTGTGTCTTTCTCTTCTTCACCTGCCAAAGTCCCCGACACAGAACCAATCGATGTGGCAGCTCATCTCCAGCTATTAGGGGAGTCATTGAGCCTGATTGGACATAGACTACAAGAAACTGAGGTGATGGTCAGCAAAAACCCTGTAGGTTACCACAGAAATGACATTGTACATTTCACACACATTGTTAATATGTACACAACTAAATATTGCAAGTATTCATCTGTTTTGCAGATTGTTAAAAGTACTTTTTTCAAGAGTTATTTTTTGTGATTGCATTACAGTATAAAAAATGTGTGACTGACCCTAAAGAATGATTTTATATTAAATTATTTTATAAAGCTAGCATCAGCCCGTGGAAATCCTTGTTTATTCCTAGGTAGAAAATGGTCTGGCTTCTGCTTCAGGTGCCCTCACAATGCAAATGTTTTTGACCTCACTAGCACAGTAACCATCTGTTATTCTAAACTGAATGAACGGGAACTGGGATTTACTGATCCCTATCAAGAAAGCATGTTGGGGTTCTAACAAAGGAGAATTATGCAGCACTTTTGGAGAATATGACATTGTCCTTTGTCCCATGTCAGCCAGCTCGTCAATAGCCATATTTGGGAGGAACTCAATAAGTGGAGAGCAGATAGTAGTGTTATTTTAATGTGTGCAGTCAATCACTCTAAAATATAAAAAGCCTATAATTAGTTTTATGAGCTGTGTGTTTTTACAAATGAGTGCTGTTTTAATTCAGCCACATAACAGATGACTACATTTTAGAATACTACAAGTATGTAGAAATGCAAGACATGACAGTAAAAAAACAAAACAAATAGTAGGCGTATAAAATAGCAATGAAATAACTCCTAGTTATAAATTCCAGGCACATTTAGACATACTGTACATGATGGTGATGTCATGCTTTTTACAGTTTGAAGCCAATCATAGTCATGTATTTGTGGCTGTTGGCAAATGAAAAAAAAAAAATACACCTGTGTTTGTCTAACTGCATTACGAAAAAAAACTCTACATACTATTCCTGTACAAACTAATTAGTAATTGTGAGGCTCTTAAAGGTACACCTCAAGCAAAAATAAAAAATTGTGATTTAGAGTGATTCCAGGTACAGCCAGCTTACTGAATGACTGGCATTCATTTACTGCACCTGGCTCCCTAGACAGCCGATATCCTCTAGTTGATTCTGAGCCTTTCGACCGAGCCATATAGCAAAAAGTTGTAGATTTGCTGGACACTACAGTACTACTGCTCACCAAGGCCTACCTCTTTTCTCTCATTTCCAAAATCCATGCCGCGGTTTGGAGACTGCGGTGTCGTATGGAGTTCCAATTGCCTAACACTAGAGATTGGATGCTGTGATTGGAGGGGAGGCAACATATTTTCCTCTGACATTGGTTTTCTAAAATGATGTCTGCAATTGCACTAAGAACAATTGTTTTTTTTTTCCCTGTATGGCCACTTTCAAGGCCATTAAGGTGAACATTTGTGCACACTCTACTTTCCTGATTAAAAGGGAGAAAATTGTCTCTCCTTGAGTGTCTCAAGTATGTGAAGATCAATTAAATTGCAAAAGCACTGTCTGATCTGTCCGGGGCTCTGATGAGAAACTGCCATAAAATCATCAGTCTGTATTGTTTTAGAAAAAATGTTGCATGTCCCTTAAAGAAAAAGTATCGCTAATTGGTATTGGCGAGTACCTGAGGAAAAGTTCCTGTACTTGGTCTTGAAAAAAATGGTTTCGGGACATCACTAAAAAAAAAAGGAACTGATTGTTCTTTGTTTGGTGTCTCTGAAATGTGAAGTAACATGGGTAGATTGTGTGTTCATGCATATTCCAATTTCAGAGTGGCAGGTTTGAGCCCATTCCCTTATGAATTCCCTATTAGTTACTAAAGTTGCCCATGACATTTAAGGAAGAACTCTTGGCAAAATGTTTATTAACCTTTGCAGTGGGGGTTAACTGTTCCTTTTTGTCTAAGGGCTAAAAAAAAAAAAATGTTATACTCTTCTGATCCTCGGAGCCCCACTGCAAGGGTTGATAAAAGTTTTGCCCGGAGTTCTTCTTTAAAGATGAGGGAATGGGACAGGCCCATGTTGACTTCCCTAGCTGAGTTGATATTCGCATATTAGATCTCCCTGGAGATTCATGAACAAGTACATGCTGGCTTCCCTAGGTGCCTGCATTTCATTTATGATGACAAATTAGTACTTTGTATGTAAGAACAGTTCACTTTTTTCTTGTTCGTTTATAATCTCAGTTAACTGACATTTTTTTATATTTAAGGGCATGGTTGCTGTATCTGGTAGTCTTTCGGTTCTTTTGGACTCTGTGCTCTGCGCCCTGGGTCCCTTGGTTTGCCTCACTAGCCACGTTCCGCAGCTGAATGCATGTCCCAAGCAAGTATTGGTGAGTATTTAACTTTGTTTTCCTTTTTATTCACTATGATGTTACTGGGGACCTTTTAGTCAAACAGAAATTCCCACCTCCAGTGTAATCATAATTAGAAAAGTAGTTTCTTCCAAAACAGGGTAATAGAAGAAAGAGAAAAAATGGAGAAACCCGAGATCCAGGGGAGATCCGTCTAAATGTAGTCTTATCAAAGTACAGACAAAATTCTGTTAACACGTTGGCTGAAATACTGATATTCACACTTTATTTTGTCAAACAAGGTACACAGTTGATGCGTTTCTTGGTACTGGTTGATGCGTTTCTTGGTACAACCACTTGTTCGGGAAGGTGTATGACTGGGCTTACAGCAAATATTGTGGCAGCCTCCAGTCTGTGTGCCTCCAGCCCTGTCATTACCGACTTCAACATTTTCGTGTGTGTCAAATACCTCCCATACTCCCCTTTCTGCATGCTGTGGACCCTTCCTCTAGCTCGTACATCTTGTCATGTGCAAGCAAGCGAGAGAAAATACAGGGGAGGAGCAGGTATTTACACTGCCAGAAAGGATTGCAGAGCAGCGAAGCAAATGCATTTCAACATACGGCACGCAGGAAATTTGTTTGGGTTCCCCAGAGTTTTTAAAATAACATGGTCTTTGATTCTCTATTTTAAGTTCCATAAAGGACAGAGTGAGGGATTTCCAGGCTTTTGTCTAAAGCAGCATGTGATGTATTTTGTGTATTTAATACCCAGAGTGGTTAATTATTTATTTATTTATTTTTACACCTCCTTGTGGTATATGGTAATTTCCGGTGATAATCATGAAATTAATAATGATAATGGCAAGGAAAAAAATCAGTAAAAATGATAGTCTTCCTTTACCTTTAGTGGCTAATCAAGAAATGTCCCCGTACATTGGGGGTAAGTTTTTCTTCTGAAGAGCGGGGACCCGAGACCACAGCACAACAGCTCAGCCATAGAGACTGTAGAGCAGACGAAGAACGTCTGTTCTTCATCTGCTCTGTGTGATCACTGTGTCCGGAGCGCTGTAATCACAGCACCACCTGTCTCAGCAGAATTGGTATTCTGTATCGGCAAGTACCAAAATATCGATACGCATACTCGATACCGAAAAAACGATATTATTGCATCACTAGTTTTGAATAAAACTATTTTTTTGTATTGGGACAAGTAGATTGTCATGAAGGACAAGTAGATTCGGCCCCCGCTTTAGCTCTTGGACAAGTAGTTTAAAAAAAAAAAATCCACACCTCTGTGTTGCTATATACACTGTGATGCCAATCATTAGGATTTATTTTCAATGTGGTAGAGATTGAGAATGGGTCAATTCTTTTTCTTTTTTTTTTATGAAACTGAAAAAGAAGTACAAAAACTGTTTATAACTTGTTCATTATTGTCCAACTAGTTAAAACCTTTCACTCTCTTGTACGTGTATAATGTTTGACACTCTGTTTTAAATAAAACTCCCACATTACAATAGTACATTGCTGATCAATATTTTTTCATTTTCCCTAGTCCAATACTTTGGATAACATCGCCTATGTGATGCCTGGCTTGTGACTGCAAGAGGAGGAGTGACACGCAACACAGAGAACACATTTTCTATTTGTACAGTACTGTATGATATGTATAAAGGATGTGGATTGTTTTGTAACATTTTGTAATTTTAGTACCATTTCTACAGAAAAATCAATTTTATGGGGAAAAAAATGTTTTTATTCTGCACCACAGAATCATTATTGGTTTTTTTAATGCTTGCCAAGCCGATTGATGTGTTTGCTTTATAAACCAGAATATATTGAAGCACTGTTTTGTGTTACAACTCATTTGTTTTACAGGTTAACTGTAGTTTTAACAAGTACCTTCAACTGCCAAGATATTTGTTTGTGCTGGGATGGACAAATATTTATGGAATTCAGGAGCCAGTCTGTCCAATCCAGGATCCAGTGTGATTTTTTTTTTTTTAGGAGCCAGCTTTATTGACAACAACTAGAGAAAACCTTAATGGTTACATGTCAGCTGTAATTTATAAAGGAACATTTGCTAACTGGCTCCTGGGATTTGTTCAGCCCTGTGTTATTGTAGATTTTATATTCCTAGTAAGTATTATCCCTTTTGCTGCCCCCAATGTAAGTTATAACTCGGCGGCAGCGGGCCCCTGTAATCTGACATGTTTTACATTTTGTGACTGCCACCTGATCACTTCCACAAGCTGGCAAACATGGGTCCCTACTCCCACCCAATACCCTCCACCATGTTGGCATCTCAGATGTTGGCAGAGAGAGGTCAGAGAGACCAGCAAATATCTGTCTGATCTCCTCCCTGCTGAATGAACCTGGAAGCGATGATTTCTTCACTTCATCTCTTTTTTTCTTCACCTGGATTCTGAGCTGTCATTCCCCAGCTAGCCACTTGAGGAATGGGGTGTTAAACCCCCTTCCTGTGCAGGCCATTTTTCAGTATTCAGCACTGCAGTACTTGGACTGACATCTATATAAAGAAAACGGACAATTTTTCAGTCATGCAACGCTGTAGTGAAATTAATTTTATATAATTTTTTGGGGACATAGAGCTTTCTTTTGGTGGTATTTAATTACCACTGGGGTTTTTTATTTTTTACTATATAAAGAAAAAAAGTACTGAAAATTTTGGAAAAGAAAAGTTTTTCCTACATTATGTTATAAAACATTTATGATTACTACATTTTTTAGTAACATATAAAAGACGGGGTCAAGTTGGTTAAACATGTCAAGTCTTAAAATTAAAAAACTACCATACCCAAAATTTGCCATAGCTTTTACCGCTCATCAGTTTAGTGTTATCAGTGATTGATGGGCCTAGAATTATTGCTCACACTCCTACGTTCGCGGCGATATGTAACATTTATGGTGTAATGGGCGCAATCGACGTTTTTGCAAGTAGGCGTACCGGACGTATGATGCGTGTGACTTTAATTTTTTATTTTTTTAACACTTAACTTCATTGTTTTACATAGGGGGCTTGTTAGGGGGGCGAGGAGCACTGGGCGACACCACCTACAAGCGATCGGGCGGCTCTAAAGCCACCAAAAGGCTTGTATGTAAACAGCAATCGCTGACTATATAAAGTTTTGACAGTTTCTCACTCGTGCGGGCACAAGGACATTTAAAACGTCCACTCACATTCAAAAAGCGGGAAGCAGTTAAATAAATTTAAGTATAAAAAATGGTGTTTTAAAAATAAATGCATATTTAATTAAGGGTTTTCTTATTCTTGCCCAACCTTGGATGTTCCTTCTACCCCTCAAATATCTTTAAATATATCAAGTAAATCAAAACTGCAAAAAGGAGAGGGAGCCCTCTGCAGCACCGGTGAAAACTTGGAAACATGCAGAAATCTGATTACCAGAGTTCATGAAAAAAACTGACAGTTTTCGAAAAAGAACACATGAGGCCGTTTCAACTCCTTTGTTGCTGTAATAATTAAGAAACAAGTGTGGAATACATAACTGTAAGGAAGATCATTATATTTACTTTTAAAGTAATGTGGCTTGCCAGAAAAGTATTCAGTTCAATTTGTCTGACATTGGCTGTTTGTTTTCAAAACATTTTTATATGCTTGTAAAATAATTGATAGAAATGTGTTTCCTGATTTCTGGTGTCAGTGGTCCTAATAATTCCAACTTTATTTGGCTGTTATTCTCTCCAAGGTGGAAGAAGACTATTAATCTAGCAAGAATACTGTGGATTTTATGTAGTGGACTCTGGATTAAACATGGCTGACTGTTTATACATTGGTGCTGCATTTCTTAACTCAGAATTCATGAATTGGTATTTTTCTTAAACATTACTTACAATTGTTAATGAATAAACTGTATCTAAAAAATAAACACTGAATACAGGGTGACCACATGACACTGAATTCAAAGAGGTTTTTTTGTAACTAGATAGCACAGCAGAGTTTCTACTTTTCCTGAAGATTTTTTTTTTTCTTTTTATCATGGAAACCTTTCGACGGCAGGCTGGGCAACAAACTGTATATATACATTGCATTCAGAAAGTATTCGGACCCCCTTCACTTTTTTCAATTTGATGTTTTGTTTGATGATTTTATGTTGCCTGATACTACAGTTGTTTAAATTCTTTTTTTCTCATTAATCTACAACCAGGTAGCCCATAATGACAGTGAAAACAGAATTTTTGAAATGTCTGTGAATTTATTAAAAAGAAAAAAATGAAATATCACATGTACGAAGTATTCAGACCCTTCACTCAGTACTTTGTTGAAGCACCTTTGGCAGCAATTACAGCCTTGAGTCTTTTTGGGTATGGCGCAACAAGCTTTGCACACCTGGATTGGGGGATTTTCTGCCATTCTTCTTTGCAAATCCTCTCAAGCTTATTCATGTCTGTGTCTTAGTCTGTGGACAGCCATTTTCAGATGTTCAAGTCAGGGCTCTGGCTGGGCCACTATAGGTCATTCACAGAGTTGTCCCTAAGCCACTCCTGTATCGTCTCAGCTGTGTGCTTAGGATCGTTGTCATGTTGGAAGGTGAACCTTCGGCCCAGTCTGAGGTCCCGAGTGCTGTGGAACAGGTTTTCGTTGAGAATATCTCTGTACTTTGATCTATTCAGCTTTCCCTCAACCTTGACCAGTCCCTGCTGCTGAAAAACACCCCCACAGCATGATGCTGCCACATCCATACTTCATTGTTGCAATGGTATTAAACAGGTAATGAGCGGTGCCTGGTTTCCTCCAGACATAACGTTTAGAATTGAGGCCTAACAGTTCAATCTTGGTTTCATCAGACCAGAGAATCTTGTTACACACAGTCTAAGAGTCCTTCAGGTGCTTTTTCAAGTCCAAACAGGCTTTCATGTGTTTTGCATCGAGGGGGGGCTTCCGTCTAGCCACTCTGCCATAAAGGTCAGATCGGTGGAGGGCTGCAGTGATGGTGGTCCTTCTGGAATTTTGTCCCATCTCCACACAGGATCTCTGGAGCTCAGTCAGAGTGACCATCCGGTTCTTGGTCACCTCTCTTATGAAGAGCCTTCTCCCTCGATTGCTCAGTTTGGCCGCGTGACCAGCTCTTGAAAGAGTCCTGATTGTGCCAAACTACTTCCATTTGAGAATTATGGAGGCAATTGTGCTCTTGGGAGCCTTCAGTGCGGGATAATTTTTGTGTAGCCTTCCCCAGATCTGTGCATTGCAATAATCCTGTCTCTGAGCTCTGCAGGCAGTTTCTTTGACCTCATGGCTTTTGCTCTGATACAGTATGCATTGTCAGCTATGAGGCCTTCTATAGAGAGGTGTGTGCCTTTCCAAATCATGTCCAATCAATTTAACTTACCACAGGGGGAGTCCAATCAAGGTGTAGAAACATCTCAGCAACGATCAAGAGAAATGGGAGTGTCAGGGATACCGGCACAGGTGACCCCACACCTGCGCAGGTACCCACACAGGCAGACCAAACACGTGTGACCACACAGGACAAGCCAGAATGTATGATATACCGTTTTAATATGCCAACCAGAATAATATAAACAGGTATTAGCAACCAACTACGTCTAAACCACACCACATGCAAAAGTAACAGGCAAGCAAACCCAGGGAGCAAAGCATAACACCAGGGGAACTGAGGGACAAAAGGTCAGGGTACAAGGAGCTAACAGGACTCGGGAACATAAGCAGGTCACGGTTCTGGACAACAAGCAGAGAACATAAACAGGATACATGACTCGGGAACAGAAGCAGGTTACAGTACTGGGGACTCAGGTGAAACAATACTGAGCCACAGACCTTACTGGAGGGAGGGCTTAAGTACCCTCCCAGGGAGCACCAGGTGGTGGATGATTGGTGGCAGCTGGGAGACACCTGCAGGTGAGCACTGGAGTTGCAGTTTCCAGCGCCACCCAGTGGAGGTCTGGTACCTAGCAGTTCCTGGCTGCCTGGAGACCCCCGCAGGTGAGTATGGAAACTGCAGGGCTTAGCTCCAGCGCCACCTGGAGGCTCTCTGGATCCTAACGGGGAGACACCTGAGCTAAATTTTAAGTGTTGCAAAGGGTCTGAATACCGATGCCAATGGGATATTTACATTTTTCATACATTTGCAAACATTTCTAAAATTCTGTTACACTTTGTCATTATGGGGTACTGAACGTAGATTAATGAGGGGAAAAAAAGAATTCAAACAAATGTTGTATCAGGCTGCAACATAACAAAATTGAACAAAATGAAGGGGGTCTGAATACTTTCTGAAAGCACTGTATGTATATATGTGTGCATATATATATATATATATATTATCCTCACCACGGCAGGTTCGCCTGCAACTGCTCTGTATCCCCATAGAGTAGCGTGTGAGATGTCTCTCTTGGTGAACGTATGACCGGCCAGTCCTGATTGACCAGTCAGTTTCCTTCTACAGGGAGACAGCACCCTGGTCCTGGCCAAAGGTTAACCACCCTTTCTGTGCAGTGGAGTGCTCCAGGGGGTTCTCTCTCCCCTACCTTTGTGGTTAGAGGGAAAACCAAGGTGAGGGGGGTACTGTGTGTGGGTGGTGCCTGCTTAGGTAGGAGTCAGGTGTTCATGTTGCTTACTGTGGTATGTGGTGCAGGCACCTGGGGTACTGATTCATGGGGCTATGGCTGTGTGGCCTACTCCAGGCTGGGCGCTGCAGCTGTCATTTACTGAGGGCTGGCTGTTCTTCTCCTCTGGCCCCCTCGGTCAGAAGCAGG